AAGCAAATATAACCAAGTATGCATACTAAACACATCTATGAAAGATATATAATAGACATAGCCATTTGAAGAAGTGAAAGGAGTTGGTCCCCACACATCTGAGATAATCAATTGAAAAGGAGAAGTGTATTCAGTCATCGAATTACAAAATGGAAGCTTATGTGCTTTGCCTTGAAAATAGGTAGTACAGATTTGAGATAAGCTACACGCATCAGTAGACACATTACAAGATTTCATAACTGCATTTACAGTTTTAACAGAAGCATGACCCAATCTTTTATGCCACAGATCCAAAAGAGATTGTGATCTTGACACATTATTAACATGATAGCTAGTCTCCTTTTCAATAGTAGGATGTATCTAGTATAAACCTTCATCCGTGAGCTTCCCTCGTAATAGAATGGTCTGAGTCTGAGCATCCTTCACAAAATAGTCGAATGGATGAAATTCGAGAAATACATTATTATCACGTGTAAATTGAGAAACTGATAACAAATATTTCTTAATATCAGGAACATGCAACATATTTTGCAAGATCAAAGGCTTGAAACTAGTCTGCAAGCAGCCTTGACCAATGTGAGTTATGGAAACACCCTTACCATTACCCATTAGAAGTGTGTTATTACATGTATAGGTAGTTCTTGAATCAAACACTGAGAGATCATTCGAAACGTGATGGCTAGTACCCGTGTCAGGATACCACAGTGGACCAGCCGTAGTAGACTGAGGCATATTTGGATTGGATGAACTAAACCGAGTGTCTATAAGCATGGATCCAAAAGATGAGTATGGAAAACCATGATAAAACGGAGGTGATAATCCTGAAACTCCAGGATACACTGAGGATGGGTAAACTATACCAACTGAATAAGGTGATGCCATAAGATGTGTGTAAGCTTGCATTCGAGGAGAATATGAGAGAGATAAATGACTACCAACATTTGAACTCGAAGACTTCTTCCAAGTATCACTCTGCCCAACCTCAGTAGAAATACCAGTGAAGTCCATATCAAACCGATGATAACACTTTTGAACTGTGTGACCAAACTTACCACACAACTGACATTGAGGTCGATTGGAACCATTAAACCTTCCTCGACCACACCCACAATAGCTATTACCTTGTTGTCCAGTAATTTGAGAAGACTGTTTCTCAGACATCTCTTAACTTGCTTGAACATCACGAGTGCGATAATCATTGGATCGAACTACCATATTTGCTGAGAGACCCTCACTAAAAATAGTCTTCTGCCGAGCTTCACAATCAAGAAGTATTTCAGTAATAACATCTAGTGATAAAGAGTCACGAGACGCAATCGCAATAATAGACTCAAACTCCATGGACAATCCAGCAAGCACAACACTGACATGCTCCTGTTCAGTAACAACATAACCAACTGCATTTAACATATCACATATAGACTTAACATTTGCCAAATACTCACTTACAGTCAATCCTGCTTTTTGTTGAGAGTGCAAAGTATGCCTAAGTACAGAAATCTTAGTACTAGATCTATCCCCAAACAATCGTGCTATGGCATTCCAAATAGCAAGGGAAGACATTAAACCTGTAAGGTGAGGTAAAACATCTAAGCTAACCGTTTTCAATAACCAAGACGCAAGTAATTTATCTTCTTGTCTATAAATGACAAAGGCTGGATTCTCCTCAACCTGACTAGACTCGTTTGTAACCCATTCATCTAGAACAACACTATCAGACATAACATATTTCAGCAAACCATAACCATTAAGAATAAGAGCTACATGATGCTTCCATAGCAAATACATACTTTCAGCAAGTTTGACCGTGTCATGTTTGGGAATATGCTGAACACAGGAGGGAGTAGAGAGAGACACCGAGGAATTCCCAGGGGAATTCACTGGAGACACCACCCGTGGATCAACAATAGCTCTTCACCAGCAAGCATAACACCATGCAGCGAGAAACACGTTTCCAGGAAAAGCGACTGATACCATGTTATGATAGTAGCTAAACTATCATTGAAAAGCAAGAAGAATGAAGAATAACTTCTCATTCATTTTATCAATCACAATAACCTGCTTTTACACTTAGCAATAGGAGCTTATATACTAAGCTGAATAACAATACTAACTAACTCAATTGCCAGCTTAGCACGCAAAGGAAGTGAATACACGTGAACTGAATACACGTACGCAAACAAACTTATAACAGAATCATAACAAACTCATGCTTAACATCACTCAGCAGATAACAACAACATAGTAGTGATGCAATGCATTTCATACTCCAACATGGGAAAAGCATAATTTTGAACGAGATTGACGAGGAGAAGACGATAAAAGGATGGGGCAGACAACAAGGAGAAATATCAGGTGTTGTTCCAGTTTCAGTTTCGGACAAGGACTTAGATGTTCGAAGTGGTGTTCTCTGATTATTCTTCACCTAGAACCCGCCCTCCTCCTAATAATTAACAAGTTCAGGTGTGATTTTATTACTAGAGGAAAGACTCTTTGTTGTAGTTACTACTTTTCGAAGCTTCATTAGTTCATATATATAACTAACATCGATGTCGTTTTATTATAGATAGAAATAGGAATAACAATGAAATTAACAAATTATAAACGTTAATATAAGTTTAAATAGATAAAAGTTTATAATTTTAATGATGTTATAACAATCATCGGATTGCGTCGGTTAAAGGTGGTTTATCTCTTCTAATTTGAATAAAGAACTGCAACCGATCAGTTCTTGGTCGATGATAAGTGATATTCTTTATCTCTAGATAAGGAGAGATGTAGAAATTCTATTGGATGAGGGTTCTATAGTAATCTTTAATGCTTGATGGTTAGATTGGTTCATTCTTTTGATGTTAAAGCCTATGTTACTCGGATTCGGGTGTAAATGTCGAAATCATATCCTCGTAATCAGTGTCGGACACAAATACTTTCATGGAAAATCCGAGTAACATAGGCTAAAGTCTGTCCTGTTTGTAACATTATTGTAATTTTGTGTCACTTGTGGATCCATCATTCTTATGTACTTTCAAGTTACATACTCTGCTAACACATTCTTAGTACCATTGGACTTCATTCTGCAATGCAATTGCATCTTCTTTGTTGGAATTCGATTTCTTTGTATTTATGTTTTAAAATAAAGAATTCATTAGAAATGACAATGAATTTGTTTAGATGTTACTTGAATGATGTGAAATATTAGATGTTAATGAATATTATAGTGTTAAACAGTGGCGGATCTAGAAATATTTTTTAGAATGGGCACACATATGTTAACAACATAAAATTTTTAAACGAGGTGCGTGCAAATAAAATTTTAGGGTGGCACCATCAATAAAATACATAACTAATTGAAGAAAATTCATATTTTAGGGTGTACACAAAAAATTTCAAGGTGAGTACTATCGATAAAATAACTAATCGAAAAAATTCGAATTTCAATACGAGCACGTGTGCACTCTCTCCAAGTTGTATCTCCGTTGCACAATGATATTTTTTTTATAGGTATATAATATAATATAAATAATATTCATAGATTTTATTTCAGCTTCCTTTTGTATATATCATTAGATTCAGCTAACATGGCTTAAAGTTGACAGAACTAAAATAAATACTTAATTAAAACCAACTGTTTCAAGTTTGAATGAGTTAGGGTTCTGTTAATTTAAAAAAATATCCTTTTATGTTCACTAATCGAGTTTTAAAAAAATGTATCATCTAATATTTATTTCATTTTGGAATTATGTTCGAGTTAAAATTGGCAAATTTAGGTGTAAGGGTTATTGTTATCTCCTTAATAGATTTAATTTATCAGTTTCACTCTTATGATTTTTTCGCATCAATTTAGCCCTCGAAGTTGTTTAGGAGCATTATCCTAACCCTCGGAGTCCGTTTTGATTAACAGAATCAATAGTTTTCTACGTTTGTGGATGACATCAAGTTTCATGTCACCCAACATTACTGAGGTAACTTGATGATAACTTGACATTTATAAAAAAATAACTAATAAAATATTTAAAATACTTACTAAATATAATGGTTAGGAAAAATCTCCAAAATTTTGACCTAATACCTTAATCTCAATGAAATAAACAATAAAATTTTAAGAAATCTTTTTCTAACCCTTACATTTAGTAAATATTTTATTATAATCCCTTAATTCGTAGATACAAAAAACTCACTGTTCTATTAATCAAAAAGGTCAATGGACTTTGAGGGCTAGGATGATGCCCCAAATAACTTTGAAGGCTAAATTGATACGAAAAAATTATAGGGACAAAAATGATAAATTTGATCTATTGCAGGGGTAAAAGTAATTCTTAAACCACAAATTTAAATATCATTTAAGATTTAGGAGACTTGAATTTTATATTTCAACAACTGATAGGTGGATTAAATTCAAAATGGGATGGATCGAGTGGAGGTGCTACAGTTAGGGTTGGGTATAGGTCGGGCCGAATTTTCAGTCCTTTCGATTTGACCCAAAAATTATAAATCATCCACTCGATCCGAACTCGATCTTATTTTTTTGAGGTAAAATCCAAACTCGACCATATCCGAAATAATATATTTATTAAAAATATTATTTTTATTCAATAAAAATATATATTTAATTAAAAGAACATAATACATAGAGGAGTATTATTGTAATTATCCTTAAATATATAAGGTAAAATTATAATTTTTTGGATCGGCTCGGGTATTTTTTACCCTATACTTGAATTCGACCCGACCCAAACCCGATTTTTTTTTAAAATTTGACTCGATCGGATTGGATTGGATCATGCCCGTCCCTAGTTAGGGCTGATTCATTATCATAGGTGGACTGACTTTTAATTTTCACATTGAACAAAATCTGCATGTTAGAATAACAACACACACACCATGCATGTAAAATTACTCACACATAAACCATGCGTTTACATCTTAAATAGTTACCCTGTGAACCCTAGTTTCTGCAGAGAATCAGATCAACAAAATTTCACACTTTACAGTGCTTCACCATGGCAGTTTCACAAGCTGTTTCCGCCTTTATTATGCAGATGTTCTTGGTCGCCGGTCTTTTCCTTTCTCAGAGCCCTATGACCCCAGGCCAAGGACCAACCGTGTCCGACTGCAGCCCTCGCCTGGTGGCTCTAGTGCCATGCGCACCATTCGTGCAGGGCAACGCTCAAAGACCCGCACAATCCTGCTGCGACAATCTGGACCAGCTCTACGGGCTGCAACCCGCTTGTCTTTGCCTCCTCCTCAATGACACCACCTTGAGTGCTTTTCCTATAAACAGGACACTTGCGGTTCAATTACCTATTCTTTGCAAGCTCCAAGCTAACACCACTGTTTGCTCAGGTACGGTTAGAGTTATGACCCAATTGCTTCTTAGATCGCATTCATGTCTGTTTTTTTCGATAATCGATTTCTTTGCTTGAAGGGTTGTCTCAAGTTTCTCTTGGGACAAATCATACTCCTGTTGCTGCTTCTTCCCCCATGGTGAACCCTAATGTTCCGGCGGCACCGAGACCAAACATCATGGGGCTGGGGCTTGGCCGGAGCAATGCTGGTAGATTTAAGACACATGATGATCTCTTAGCTGTTGCTGTAATTCTGGTTTCAAAGTTGGCACTTGATGCTGGGTTTCTGGTTTAGATTTATTGATGATTTGTTTTCTTTGAATATTACTATCTCTACGTATAATGTATGTATTGGAACAATGTTTACCTATTTTGGTAATGATTTATATGCAGTAGCTTTCTTTACCGTTGTTAATGTTTGTTTCATGCAAGCACAAGAAGTTAGTTGTGAGCAAAACTCGCTCAATAAAATTAATCTTTTTAATTTGATTTGATTTGAAAAAGTTTGACTCGAATCTATTCGAAAAATTTTCAAATTCAAATCAAACTACCAAATAAAATTTAAATAACTTGAAATTTTTAATAAACCTAAGAGAAAGCCGCTTATACCATGGTAGCTCCACATGCTAACTCAGGGTGAGGGGATAGTGAAGATCTAACGCCAATTCACTTCTCCTTAAAAAGCTAAATAAACTTACCAGTTATGATACTAGTAGACTTTATAACGTCTGAAACTGGGTCATTACCTTAACAGGCCCTCCATCGTCATTCTTCAAACTTTTCCTTGAATCACGAACGCTCCCACTCAGACCATCACTAAAGCCATGTCTTAATTACCTTTTGCATAGAGTTGATCCTCCTCACGAGGTCCATCACTTGCCCTCAAGAACCTAGATCATGACTCGATTGAATGTTTACCCCTACAAGAAGTCATTGGTTATTTTTTTTATTTATTAATCTAGGGTAAAAATAAGACATATGTTTAAAGATAACACTCCAACATTTAACATTAAACGCTCACACTCGTAATATTTCTGGTACACGAATTCTGAACTTCAAGAAACAACAAAAATTTCTTTAACACTGAGGTTGCTTAGTTTGTTCTCTTAGTTTGTTCGTCATTGATTATAAATATTTATTTCTTTACTATTTTTGGAAATTGTGCAGACTGCACAACAATTTCTACTCGAAATTACACTTTTCTACGAAATTACACTTTTCTACTGTGTCTACATGGAGAAGTTACCGAGTAATCTACACACTTTTAAGAAGTCGTCGTATAGTCCTAATTCAGAAAATAATTTTTATTATACCTTATATGAATAATATTTCCTACTAAATACTTTAATAAACATCTTAATTCAAAAAATAATTTTTACTGCACCCTATAAGGTAAATATTTTTAGGGCATAGATCGGGTTTTTGGTCCACCTGATTCGACCTGAGAATAAAGAATCCTCCACACGAAATTCGACCCGACCTGACCAAAACAAAAGTTCACCCAACTCGATATATAACTTAAAAACCCGACCAAACCCAAAATAATAATAAAAATATTATTTTTATTCAATAAAAATAGTGACTTAGTTAAAAATAATAATATATAGAGGGTATTATTGTAATTATTCCTAAATATATAATGTAAAGTTATATATTTTTTGGGTCGAGTCAGGTATTTTTCACCCTAAACCCAAACCCGACATCACATTTAAAAACCCCGACCTAAACCCGATTTTTTTTAAAAACCCGACCCGATCGAGTCGGGTTTGGTTAGAACCATCGAGTTCGAGTCCCATGCCCATCTCTACTTTTTACACATTTTATTCAAGCAATTTGGGTGTATAAATTGACAAGAAAATTGATGAAGCACTCATGAATCAATTTTGTTACGTGCAAATGGACAAGAAAATTGGCCTGCAAGGATGGACCATGTAATTTTTGGGAAGTCCTAATCATGTACAAATGGGTGAATTCGAAGTCGCCTTCATCATTCGTTTTTATTATTATTAACAACAAAATAGAAAGATAGGTTAACCGAAATGTTAAAGCCGCTTTTGTTTTAATCTTTGTTGGTCTCTATACTTTAAAAGAAAAAATTAATGTGGTTCTCGTATTATTTTTTCTCCTAATATGACATTTCAACTTAGAAATAAGTCTACTGTGGTTCTTTGACTAACGTTTTTCGTCGTTGATCGTTATGATGTTGACATGACAGTTCACGGTGCTGAAGTAGTAGTTCATTGTTGACGTGACAGTCCATGGTGGTTGATAACGTGGTGGATAACATGACATATGAGCTAAATTGATAACTCAAACATGACAAGTGGGCTACCACGTTAGTACTGTGAACCGTCACGTCAGTTCCGTAACGGTTAAACGCCGAAAAACTTTGGTGAAAAGGCCACATTAACTTTGTTTTTTGAGTTGAAAGGGCCACATCGAAAAAAAAAATGATGCGAGAGCCACATTAATTTTTTTTCAAAAATATTGAAGCCTTTTATATCTTTTTGCCATTTTTATTCTTTCTCTTCCTGGTAGTAATACTTTTTTAAGTAGAAGCTTGATGGGTACTAATGATACATAAATAAAAGATAAATAACCTCAGTGACAAAAAATGCCTTATAATATACGATTTTAACCAATTTTTTTTTGATTTGCCAAAATGACCAACTAAATCGTAATGCGATCGATAATTCGCAACGCGATCTCCGGTATCGCAAATCAGTTTCCAGATTCGCAATGCGAACTTCGACTATCGCAATGCGAACTTGGACTATCGCAATGCGAATATGTAAATCGCAATGTGATAGTCGACTATCACATTGCGATTTATTCCAAATTCGTTGCGATAGTCCAAAATCGCAACGACTGGTGGTATTGCATTTATTTCTTAAGAATTTTATCTAAAAATATAGTATTCGCGCGGACGTATCGAAGACACGTATTACCACGACCACGACCACGACCACGACCCGACCCGAGACGACGGCGGCGGAGGCGGCGCGCGAGAGTCCCCCTTGTTCTCTATCACTCAACAAGGAAGTGAGAAAGCCAAGCCTTAAATACCATTCCCAATAGTGTTTCCAATACTATGTGGGATTGAGCATTACCAACACTTGTTCCCAATACTATGTGGGATTGAGCCTTAAATAGTGATATTATTTTTGAATGTTTCGCTTAAAATTGCAATAATCGCGATTGATTGTAGATTGACTTTTAATTATGACATATTTAATCGTATAATACTAATGCAATTGGTTGCTGATTCAGTTGTTTTAAGGTGCATGATTGTTAATTGTTTCCTGAATAATCACATTGTATTGGAAACAAGTGTTGGTAATGCTCAATCCCACATAGTATTAGAAACACTATAGGGAATGGTATTTAAGGCTTGGCTTTCTCACTTCCTTGTTGAGTGATAGAGAACAAGGGGTACTCTCGCGCGCCGCCGCCGCCGTCCGTCTCGTCTCGTCTCGTCTGGGGTCGGGTCGGGTCGTGGTCGTGGTCGTGGTCGTGGTATTGCATTCGTTTCTTAAGAATTAATAGTCATTTTTATATGAAAATTCTTTACGAAAATTAATCTCGTCTGGGTTCAGTTTTTTCAATTTACGATTCAGTTTTGGTTCGGTTTAACAAAATAAATATGCTCTGCAATTCGATTTTGGTTTTTCCATACGGAAACTATTTAAACTGAATCAAACTGAATTTAAAAAATAAAAGAAAATAAGTATTCAAACAAATTCATTTTAGATTTATTATAAGACAAATTTAAATAAATAAAATTTAAAACTAATAATATCTTTTTATAAATTTAAATTGATATATTTGCAATTAATTTAAGCTTTAAATTTTCTTATTTTGGATGTTGAGTTTAAAAAATAATGAACAATCAAAAATCGCAAAATCGACTCGAACCAAAACCACTATTCTTATGTCATTCGATTTTAGTTTCGGTTTTAATTTTAAAAAACCTGTAAAGTGCAGTCCGGTCCATATTTTAACAAAAAAAGAAAACCAAACCGAACCGAATACATTACTAATTACTAGAAGGTTTAAATGGCTGCAAAGAATTGGGTATTTGGGCCACAATGGTTTTTGACTCAAGGAATGAAAGTAAGTGGCATTGGAGCGACGGCAAGGGAATGACCCACAGTGGTGGTCCGGCGACGTGGTGGGTGTTCGATGGTAATGGTGGTGGCCGGCCGCTAACGGTAGTAGGAGGGGTTAGGGTTTGAATATTTTGGGGTCATTTTGTAATTTTAATAAAATTGGTGGATTTTTTAAATTAAAAATATTCTTAAAACCTCTTTTTTAAAGTAAAATCTTTAAAGAAATTACGAGGGTAACACGTGTTACTTAATTATCAAATTTAACGATCATTACAGTCTAGACTTCTAAAAGTACAATGTTGGAAACGATGACCTATATGAGCTTCAACTGTACGTTAGCGAGATATTAGCACACCAGTTGAATCCAGAGAGTTTATAGGTCTAGTAGTTCAACAGTTGAACACTTGAACTACCCAAATTAGTCCATTTATTAATAACAACAAGCCTTAGCCAATATAGTGTAGGGTATTGGCTAAGCAACTACCCTATTATGTACCCTTAGTTTCTTCAAGGAAAATCAGTCCCCAGTCCCACAAAAGCATGTCCTCTTGACAAACCTGCCTTTCATTCTAGGCCTTTTCTCCGCATTTAGCTTCCGAACTTCGTACCGTATCTTCTTCGAAAACAGTCTCGTTCTTCGCTTCTCTCGGTACCTCGACACCTTCGCTTCGCGTTCACCGTCGGTGTTGTTTCCTCTTGCCGGCCTGTATGTTCCTCCTATATCTCCATTCAGCTGATGAAGTGACATGGATTGTGAATGGTTAATTGAGCATATAAATCAACTAGTACATGGACTGACATTGGCCAAGTATGAGTTAGGAGCTTTGAATTGTACCATGAAGTCATCCGGGTTGAGTTCGGGTCGGGTTCCGGTCGTCCAAGGAGAGCGTTGGATGGTCCAAGCATTGATCACTGACTCATAGTTCAGTCTCAGCAACTTATTCCTCTTCGATGTATCGGCCTCACTCGCACGATTCGTTGTCATACTCTCCGTTGCCGGAATCGCCTTCGGTTCGTCTTCGTAGTCGAAATTCGAGTTTAAGGATGCTCTTCCAACTTCAAAAGCAGATTCAATGAAGCAAGGTGTTGTACCTTCTTCCTTGACTTTCATTATTTTGATGTCACTAGAATCCTCATCGGGTCCAACTCCGAGCAACCTCTCGACATCGGCGGCGAACTCGGCGAGATCCAAATCGGATGCTAAAAAACTATGCAAACCATCATCCAACTCGCATGTTCTGTCATGTTCATGACCTTCCACAACCAAATCTCCGTCTCCATTCAGCATACCAACTTCGTCACAATCACTTGGTACCATGTTACATAATTCTCCGGAAAAGGAATCGAACACCGGCACTCGACAAAGCAGCTGCTCGTCGTTCTCCTCGACCGAACCTTCTTCGCTACCAACCTCAGGAACAAGAGGATCAATAGGATTCCAAACCAACACCTTCCCCTCATCACCCTTTTGTTGCCCCGACGTGGCCTTGTTTTGCCTCGGTGTCCTCGACTTCCGAGCGAAACCTCGGTGCCACGCCGGCGCAACATCTCGATTAATAGTACCACGAGAAGATGCAGTTTCAAGCCGAACCCTTTCATGTCTGCTGGCCAACAGATTAGCAGAGTGGACCGAAGTGTCGCAACCCTGGCAGAGAAACGCATCATCGGCAGCACAATACCAACGTGCACGCTTCTGCAAGCAACCGTCGCATGGTCGAGCCGTCTTGCCTCCCACGGTATTCGCCGCCTTCTTGTCGGTGATCATCGGAACTAGCTCTTCTCTCAACAGAAGTGGCTTTACAAAGGCATAGAAGGGTAAGTTGCAGCCTAGTTATTTATGGTCGAAGGGTAAGTTGCTGAATGTGATGAACCGTTAACGCTTTTGGAGGCATGCAAAAGGGGGTTGTTTTCAAACATTAAAGGTCTGGTTTTTTGGGGGACCCCAGAGCTTGGGGATTATCTCACTGGTTATTGGCTGGAACTTTGAAGTTCATCTTATTCCCTGAATTCTCATTGGTTATCTGTGAAACCCCATGGATTCCTTATGGCTCCCTGCCGTTGATTTTTTTCTTCTTCTCTGAATTCTGAGGTTGTGATTATGGGATTTGGTTTCTTATTTTGTGTTTATTATCCATATAGATTGGTTTAAATGATATACAACTTGATATCACTTAGGTAATGTGTCGAGTTCGAATTTTTATATATACAAAAAATTCCTACGAGGAGATTAATTCTTTAAAATCAGATCTACGATACGAATCGATCCGAATTAGTTAATGCAAAACTGAAACGAGATGACAACAAAAATTTCTTTTACCTGTGAGACTGTGAAGGGAGCGGTCCCCTTCTGACGTGTGTGGATGTTACCTTTGATTCTCATGTGACTGGCTGCCAAGGGCCAGTGACCCTCTCTAGTTTGATTGATGTTGAGGTACACAATGGGAGAACATACCTTAATCATAGTATATATTTATATGGCATGATAGTTACTTGATTAAAAAAAAGTTTAACTACATAAATGATCACTTATGTTTATATTTTGTTTATTTTTGTCACTGATTTCTAAAAACATAAAATATGATAATTTTCTTTTTATTTAATTAAGATATGATCACATTCGTTTTTATATAATTAAGATGTTATTGTCACGGGTCAACTGCTATTAACAATTAATAGAACATGTGATGTAACAATTGGTACAATCACATATTTAGTCTATTTACATATTCTTTCAATTTATTCATACTTTAAAATAAATTTTTAACATAAAGTATATATTTTTAAATGAAAATAAAAATAAAATATTTTTAAATTAAGTTAAAAATAAATATTTTTAATAAGTTAATATAAAAATATTTTTTTAAGTTAGTATATATAAAATATTGTGAATTTAAGTATTTATACACTAAGATATAAAATATATACACCACTTTGTCTACTTTAAACCAATCAACGGTCTTGGCTAGGGATGGGCATGGGTCGGGCTGGGTCGGGTTTACCCGACCCGAGAAGAAGGGGACCTCCACCCGTGACCCGACCCGACGAAATTAATTTTTCATCCGACCCGACCTGACTCGATAGATAGTTTAAAAAACCCGACCCGACCCGACCCGAAATAATAAAAAAAATTATTTTTATTCAATAAAAACAGTGACTAAATTGAAAAAATAATATATGGAGGGGTATTATTGTAATTATTCTTAAATATATAGGGTAAAATTATATACTTTTTCCGGGTCGGGTAGGGTCGGATATTTTTCACCCTAAACTCGAACTCGACCTGACCCGAACCCGAATTTTTTTTAGAAAAATCCGACCCGATCGGATCGAGTCGAGTCGGAACCCGTCGGGTTCGGGTTAGATGCCCATCCCTAATCTTGGCGTAGTGGTTGGATACATGTCCTAAGTGACCAAGGTTTGAATCTTTTTTTGCCCCAATTTACTTTCCTTTGTTTTCTTTAAACCATAGGGTGACACACGTCACTCTTTGATTGGAGTAAATAAATATATTAAATTAAAATAAAGCTAGTCCTCTAATCAAATGGTGACATGTGCATCATGACACTCTAGTCTTAGGCAACAAGGATGATTCTTCAATAAGCAAACATGACAGTCTATTATTAGTTACATAACCTTTTAATTATTGCACAAGTGAAAGCTCTAACTACAAAATTTATTACAAATAGAATCTAAATTTTAGGGTTAAACTAATGTTCTATGTAAAACTTAAGGGTTAAGCTAAACTTTAATCATTTTTAATAAGGCTTGATATAAAAATAAGTGTCTAAATTATACTCAAAATTAACTTTTGGTGCCTAAAGAATTTTTCGTTGAAAATAGGTGCCTAAAAATAAGTCTCTGATTTTATTATTCATTCTACTCTTTTATTTTGAGTCCATTTTATACTAAATTTGAACCACATGCTCCTAAATCATCGTGAAATACATATGTAATTTCAATTCCACTTTTTGATAACAAATTTTCTATTTTTTAATTTAGTCCCTCAATTTTTCATAATTTCTTTATTTCTTAAATTCATGCTTTATTTTAAGTCCATTTTTACTAAATTTGAACCACATGCTCATATACCACAATAGAATTCTTATGTAACTTCAATTCTTACTTTTCACTGAAAAATATACTCTCTTTTTATATTTAGTCCCTTAACTTTGCATTTACTCAATTTAGTCTTTTGACTACAATTATTTGCAAATCTTTTCTTCTCATCAACTCATTGACTCCTTTATACTCTCAAAATACTTTCTTTAAAATGTAATATTATGAATATATTGTATAATTTTAGATTGTATTTGATATATTAAATAACTTTATAATGTGAAAATAATATAAAATATATAGAAACTCGAATAACTCGACTCGAAAAAATTTTAAGTTAAGTTCGAGTGTAAAATACAACGCATCAACTCGAATAACTTAAATTTTTTTTACTCGACTCGATCAAACGCTCACCCCTACTCAGACCTTCACATTAGCTTAAATTGATATGCAAAATGATTGAACATAACTTGATCGAAGTCTCTATCAGATTGTAAAATTTCTTAACCTCCCAATCAATCTCTTAACCTCCAAAATAGTGGACCTAAGATTCATCGTCGGATAAGCCCATGAACCAAAGAAAACAACATCAAGTGTCTCGCTCTTCCATTCATCCTTCAGCAACACGACCATCAGGGATAAATCGAAAGGAGCGGGTGGGGACAGTCACCTCTTATAATTTCAAATCCTATAAGTTTCAAATGTATTGTGGTCAACATTCATGAGGCTTAGGTTAAATTCCTCTCAACTATCCTACATTCACCAGGTCTAGGTTAAAAGATTTATGACATCCTTAATTTTTAAAAGAATGATAATGATAAATGTATTACGTCTATTATAATCTAGTTTTAAAGAAAGTCGAAGGGTTCTAGGCTGGATTTTGTTGAGTCTAATACGTTTTCCGATAAAACGAATATCATATTAACGTCCAGCAGGTCAAAGAAGAGTGAACATGAAACTTTAGGGTCCAACAGTTGAGACCGGCGATGGTCAATGGTGATTGACGGTTATCAATAGAAATGGTGGTGGCCATCGAGAGGACACTTTGGTTGAATTCAGGGATCATATTGATATTTTATCTAAAATTTAGTGGTAAAAAATATTGAATCTGAAGTTTGAGTCAAATTAAAAATTATCCCATTCTACTAACGTGCCACTTCATCAAATTAATATTACTTAATGACTCGATGATCGAAATGTGGCAGTTGATAACGTAATTGATTAAAATTTAATAAACTGATAACGTAAATAATCAAAATGTAACTTCTTTTTAAAATTCTTAAGCAAAAGTGTACAAATATATATAAAAAATGATTATACCAATAATTTACCCAATTTCCCCCCACTTTTCTACCTCTTTTTATTTCACCCAAGCCTATGTAAAAATAAATTATATCTAATTTGCTAGTAGTTACAAAAACAAGTGTGTGATACAAAATAGTGTAGAGAGATATTGGCACAAATTCTTGGGCTATTCCATCCTCCCAAGCAGGACGAACGGAGAATTTTATGTTAGGGGACGAACTTATAAAATTTTAGAAGAAAATGAGCTTAATAGAATTTTAGTGAGGACAAAAATTGATTATCAATATAAAATATACTGAAAAATATAAAATATAGGAGAATTTGAAATTTTCATACGAATGATTGCCCTCGCCCCCTCGATCCATCCTTGATTGCAAGCACTTTTTGTTGACAATATCCATTAACCTAACCAAAAAGCCATCCAAAACCCAAGCAGCATCTCTTTGGAAAAACTACTTTTATCCTATAGGATCAGATTCCATCAGCAGTCCACCAATTGAAGAAGGGCCGAATACCCATCTGAAAATAACCAGGGAGGAAGATGCCTCTTTGACATTTCTTAGTAGGAGAAGATTGTTCAACCTTTGGAGTCATGTCCCATGTACCCTTGTACTCGGCTTAATCTCAGTTTTATGAACTTTATTTATGAGAGAACAATAACCTAGATGTAAATGGTTGATCGAACAAACGGATCGTGTCAGTTGTTGACAGTTCACTCATTTTAGTTTGAATGGAGAATCGCAACCGATCGTTAAACGAGATTGGATGATATCAAGATTCCGTATTTTCCATGTAGGAGGGGAGGGTGAAAAGTGGAGATGAAGATCTTCTCTCTTAGTTTTGATCGTAGGCAACCCTATGGCTACTCGTAGATTGAATAGTCTGATTGGTGTGATCAACTGTCAATTGATTTTGGTTATGACAAATCACATCCTCACTTGTCATTTTATTTTGAGTTATTTCTCAATCTCAAGAATCTATTTGAAGTTAAACTTTGATGTTTTTCAAGAGAGAGTATCAATGTTCGACCCTTGGGTATCAATATTATTGAGCATAATTACTCCTTGGAAGTATCGATATCAAAACGATACATTTTGATCCAATTTTTTATGATGGTATCGATATTCAAATTCAGTATTGATACCGAACATACAATATTGATTTCCCAAACATAGGTATCGATACTCTCAACACAAATTACCTAAGTTCCTATTGCACATTCATACGGTATCGGTACTTAAAATATAGTGTTGAAACCAAAACCTAGAAATAACTATTTTCAAGCTCGAGAATCACTCCAAAAATGCTTTAAACGTTTTAGTTTAGGCCTTAATTTCTAAGACTTATGGGGACAATATAAAGTCATTTAACATCAATCTTGCACATATCTAGCAACAAAGGCATGGAATTGAATAAAAAAAAGTCCTTAGCTTGCTCAACACTACCCCTATGGAAGGTGTAGAGCTTAAATTAAAGTTCTATGAATTCTAGAGCTAAATTTCACCTTAAGATAGTCTAAAATCTCAAGTGAAGAAGGTCAAGTTATTACCTTTGTGCAATGGAGTTAGTTTATTGAAGAAGAAAGGGAAAAATTGATAGCATAGTTAAATTATTTTCTATCATATAATTATTTTTAATGAATTTCATTAAATTAAAAATAATATATTTGGTCGTAAAAATGAAATGATATTACCATCGACCAAAAAATAGGTAAAGTACACGTTTAATATCCTCACTATTGCTTTTATTTTTTTTTGTCACTCAATTATTATTTTTAAATCGTGTCTAATGTTACGATTTGATTTTGTTTCGATCACTCGTCATTAAAAAAATTAACATAACTACTAATATGGTATTTTTTTAAAAGAAATCAATGATGATGTGTCATTATCTTATGGTGCCACATCAACATAACCTTTAATTTTTTAACGACAGGCGACCAAAATAAAATCAAAATGTAACATCGGGTATAATTTTGAAACAAAAAATATTTAGGTGAACAAATCGGAACAAACATGATAGTTATAGTACTAAACGTGTGGTTTACCCTAAAAATGAAGAAAAGGGCATAAAAGTAATTGCGAGCGTACCACCATATCCCCATATCTACCCTTCCAAAGCTCACCCCTTGAGAGAGAGAAACTTGCTTCTTCTTCTCCTACTTCACATCTTCTTCTTCATCTTCTTCATCTTCCACTCTACTCTGCCAAAGCTTAGAAAAAAAATTAGCTTCTTCTGAGTGATGGGTGTGAGCTGCCGTTGTTCCCACACCTCCCACATCACCGAAATCATCATCACCAGCTTCTTTCGTCACAAGTCTTAAAACAAGTGAAGGAATCTGTATTCTTTTAAAAACAAAGAAACCCAGAGTGGCTTTTCTTTCCCCTTTTTTTCTTCCTTTTTCTTTAGTTTCTTTAGATCATTTGATGATGAACAAAATGATATCTTGAACAAGGCCAAGATTGATCCTTTAGCTTCAAACTTTAATGGCGGGTAGGAGGGTCTATTCTAGTAATAGTAGTAACAGTAATATCTCTGTTTTGCCCCAAAGTCAAAGGGTTGAGCCTTTCGATCCCCTCTTCCTTCAAGGCTCTTCTTTCCTTCCTCCGGGCACGAGATCCATGTTGAGTTTTGAAGACGTTCATCGAGCCAAAAGATCGTTCTTCAGGACGTTTGATCAAGAAGAGAACGGGGACGACGATGATTTAGACGAGTATTTTCATCAAACCGAGAAGAAGAAGAGGCGCCTCACCGTTGAACAAGTCCAGTTTCTCGAGAAAAGTTTCGAGGTGGAGAACAAACTCGAGCCCGACAGGAAAATTCAGCTGGCTAAAGACCTCGGCTTGCAGCCCCGACAAGTGGCCATATGGTTTCAGAACCGAAGGGCTCGATGGAAGACGAAGCAGCTCGAGAAAGACTATGACGCTTTACAAGCGAACTTCAACAGCCTCAAGGCCGAATATGATGATCTCCTCGAGGAGAAGGATAAACTAAAACAAGAGGTAATTATTTAAAGTTTCAAACATGTTGGGTCGATTTTTCATATTTCACTTGTTTCAGGTTCTTCAGCTCACGGATAAGTTGGCCACGAAAGAGCGAGATGAACCACCGCAACAGCCTGTCGACGTTGTTGTTGCGGATCAGACAGGTCCCGAGGTGGTCTGCAAACAGGAAGACATGATCAGCTCTTCCAAGAGTGATATGTTCGATCCAGACCAGTCCGATGTAACACAGGAAGAGGAAGATAACTTGAGCAACAAGCTGTTACATCCTGCAGCTTCTTACATCTTCCCGAAACTGGAAGACGATGATTACTCCGACCCGCCTGCAACAAGTTCGTGTAGTTTTGGATTCCATGTTGAAGATCACGCTTTCTGGTCTTCAGCTTATTAAGTTTATACCATATCATATTTCTGATATACATAAATAAACATATCATCTTGTTCGTGTATTATCGTGTTCTTGTTTTTGTCTGTAAATGAACCATCTTTCTTGTTGGAAATTGGAATCCATTCTTTTGGTTGCAACTTGTTTTATTCGTAGGGAAGAATCCAAAGCTACCTGATGCAGAAAGATTGTTCAGTTTGATATTAAAAATTAAAACATCCCTTTCTTACTGATATAAAAATTTGATAAAAACACCAACCAAGTAATAGTGTGTTAAAAAAAATTATTGTTATTATTATTATTATTGAAGTTTTACGATATTTAAATATTTGAAAGTTTATTATTTTTTATTACATTAAAGTGATTATAAAGTAATATTTATTTTAAATATTTTTAATCATCTGATAATAAATATTTAATCATTTTGTTACCGTCGCTAGTATTTAAATCTAAAATTTTTAAAAACAATAATGATTTTTTTATCTACTAAAATAAAATAGATTGTGTTGAACGTTTATTGTGAAAGTGTCTTTCGAATAAATCCTAACCTTAAAAAGAAAAAAAATTATTTTATTATAAGTTAAAGAAATATGGATTATAAATTTTAATTAAATTTAAGTCATTTACTTATTTAAATCTAATGTCTATAAATTAATGTAAAAGTGTATCCTAACACATATAAATATATAATTTTTATTTATAATTATGATATAGTCAAAAATATTATTTATCAAAATAGTATTGTAGGTATAAGAATTTAATTTGATGTGTTTATTTTATTGGCTTAATATAAAAATAAGTGTTTAAAATATGCCTCGAATAATATTTTAGTGACCAAAGAATTTTTCTTTAAAAATATGTGTCTAACGTTTTCTCAGTTATATTTTTAGGTGTTCACCGTAATATTTTTTAATTTTTAATATTTATAAATTAAAAAAAATATTTTTAAAAGAAAAAATTAAAAAATTAAAAAAAAACCTTAATTTATTTATAAAAAAAATCCGAAGTTTTCAAAAGTTACAAAATAACCCGATTGGATTTTCACCAGAGCTTGGAAGCTTCCTCCACGTCAAACGGCATCACTACTTGACGAGGGGACGGTTGGGTTTTCCTCGACGTGTAACGGCTCTCTCAGTGATGGAGGTTGTGACGATCACGACTGGATGGACAAGGATTTGATGGCGCGGGGCAACGATTGATTTTTTGCTGTTTTGTGACGACTGACGGTCGATTTGGGTGATTGTTGGTCGGGGTTAGGGCCGCAAGATGCTAGCGAATCCACTGGCGGTGATAGTGGTGTCGGGGAAAGAGGAAAGGGGGAAACAGAAAGGAGAAAGGGGAGACTGGTTGGAGGGGATTTTTTTTTTGAAAAAAAAGTTTTTTTAAATAATATATTATTTTTAATAAAAATATTTTTTTCATTTTTTAAATAAATTCTTAAAATTATCAGAAATGTGGGCACCTAAAGTATAACATTTGAAATATTAGACATTTAGTTTTAGTAAAAAATTCTTTAGATACTAAAACATTTTTTGAGTCATAATTTAAACACTTATTTTTATATTAAGCTTATTTTATTCATTAAAATGTTCTCTATTGTAATTAATCAAAGTAACTACTTCATAAAAATATTGTAACACATGCAAATGTATTGTGTTAGTTCGGCCAACCCTCGATCGGAGGCTTGTTAGAGGAATTGTAAGTCACTTTCATTTCAAGCATTCATAAGTAACTAAGACAAACATACAACTAGGGGTGTGCAAAACTACCCGACCCAGATAAAAAAACTGGGTAATTTTCTAAAAAAGTTACCCAGTCGGGTCGAGCCCGGTCACAAAATTAAAGTTTTTCGGATACACAGTTACCCGAGTACTCGGTTAGTTTATATATATATATATATATATATATAATGGATTATTTATATTATGGATTATTAGATTTTGTATTTCGGACTTTTAAATTTTATGTTCGGATGTTGGAGTATGTAATTCGAAGTTTCGAACATTTAAATTTGTGAATATATTTTTTAAAATTAATAATTTGAAAATGAAAAAAATGGATATCGGGTACCCGCAAAATACGGGTCAGGACACGGGCCGAGAAATCACCGAACCGGATGTTACGAGTACTCGAATTTGCACACCCCTACATACAACAATAATTGTGCAAGGAAGAAATTGAGAATATAAAATCACAATAAGTGTTGCTTTGTTGAGTTCCTCGACTATTAAAAGTTATAAAATGATCATTCAATTATTCATTATGTTTTAAACTCATCATTTTCTGTTAAAACATTGATTATATTCTGAGTTGTACGTTAACTTGCTAACTACGATATTATAAAATATGATCTTAGAATCTCAAACGACTATCATATCACAATCATCATGTTAACGTCTAGCTTAGACAACCACTTTTTTAACGAAAAGGACAAGTTTATAACATAATGAATAGTCAGGTGACCATTTTATAACTTTTAATACTTTAGAGACTCAACAAAGTAACATTCTATAGTCAGAGGATCGTTTTTTAACTTTTAATAATCGAGGGACTTAATAAAACAATAACCTATAGTCAGCTGTGTGCTTTATTTAATAAATAATGGTTGTCAATTTATTTTTAAAACTGTCAATACTCTTTTAAAAATATAATTTTACATTTTTTATACTTTTTATAATAAATTAAAAAAACTTAATTCATTTATAAAAAACCTAATTTTTTACTTGAATTATAAAAAAAAACATTTTTTTAACTAAAATTTCTCAATTCAAATCATTACCAACCATCGCCGCCTATCTCCGACCATCATCGTCATCATCAAATAGTTGTGTTTTAATTGAAATTGCATGGTGGTTCAAATGTTGGTGGTGGTGTGGCTTATGGATGTCAGAATTGGTCAGAATTGATGAACAACAATGACGGTGATTTAATATCCGATGATTATAAAGTAATATATGTTCTAAATACTCTCAATCATCTGACAATGAACGTTTAATCATTTTGTTACAGTCGTTAGTATTCGAACTCATAACTTTTAAGAATAACAACGATTCTTTTAACTACTGAAATAATAAGATATTTAACTTGAACTGTTATTGTTAAAAAAATCTTTCAAATAAATATTATTTTTTAATTGCATGAAAAATAAAATTTGACAAAAAAGTACATGCTTTGGTTCACGTTAGTTGTATTTGCTTCGTTATTACAAGGTTTAATATAAAAATAAATATTTAAATTATATTTAAAATTGAATTTTAGTGTTTAAAAAATTCTTTTGTTAATAATAAATGTTTAATGTTTTTTTATTATATTTTTAAGTGTCTACTGTTAAAATAATTGTTAAGTGACACATGTTATATTCAGCTTTTTTAAATATATTTTAAATAATATTTTATTTTAAAAAAATTGACACGTGTCAATTAATGAATTTTTTAACAGTAGACACCTAAAAATATAACGTAGAGAACATTAAACACATGCTTTTAATAAAATGATCACTCAATTATTCATTATGTTTTAAAACTCATCATTTTCTGTTAAAAAATTGATTATATTCTTAGTTGTACGTTAATTTGTAAACTACGGTACTATAAAATTTGATCTTAGAATCTCAAACGACTATCCTATCTCAATCATCATGTTAATGTCTAGCTTAGACAACCACTTTTTTTAATGAAAATGATAAGTTTATAACATAATGAATAATCGAGTGATCATTTTATAACTTTTAATATTTTAGAGACTTAACAAAACAACATTCTATAGTCAAATGATCATATTTTAACTTTTAATAATCGAGAGACTTAAAAAATAATAATCTATAGTCAAAGATCATTTGTGTAATTTATTTAATAAATAATAGGTGTCAATTTATTTTTAAGATAGTTAATACTCTTTTAAAAATATAATTTTACATTTTTAATACTTTTTATAATAAATTAAAAAAGCTTAATTTATTTATAGAAAACCTAATTTATTTATAAAAATCTTAATTAATTTAATTTAAATTAAATTATTATATATTCTAGTTACAGATATCAATATTTAAATTAAATTAATTTAAATCATACTATTATTTATCAAATATATGATGAATCTGCTATCAGTGAAGAGAGCTTAAAGATAAGTACGAAGCGTGAAGGGAGAAAGTGTTGGGCCCACGGCAGGCGCGTCCATGACGGTGACCGCACAGATCTGTCCATGTTTTCACCGCTACTGACGTCACACGCATACAGATGTTGTCCGATGACCCCACACCGCACGTGCCATTCAGCTACTCATGTCTGCGATTCTTTGGATTGGGATCACACACAGCGTTTTGCCCTTCACAAGTTATCTGATTTTCTTCTTATTATTATTTGTTAATTTCATGTATAGACAATTATTTTCGTTCGTGATATTATAATATATATATATATTAATTATATTATATATTATTATTCAACTCCTACATGTACTTAAGGATGGGCATTAGACCTAAATTCAACGGTTTCAACCTGATCTGATCGGGTCAGGTTTTTTTATAAAAATAAATTAGGTTCGGGTTGGATTAGGTCATTTTTTTTCAATGTGTGTTCGTGTCAGGTCGAGTCTGGTTCGGGTTTATGGTGAAAAATACCCGACTCGACTCGACCCAAAAATATATATAATTTTACCTTATATATTTAGGAATAATTACAATAATACCCCTCTATATATTATTCCACCTGAGATCCAACCCGACCCGACCAAAACAAGATTTCACCCGACCCGATATATAATTTAAAAACCCGACACGAAATAATAATAAAATATTATTTTTATTCAATAAAAACAATGACTTAATTGAAAAAAATATATAGAGGGGTATTATTGTAATTATTTCTAAATATATAACATAAAATTATATTTTTTTTTCAGGTCGAGTCGAGTAGGATATTTTCACCCTAAACTCGAACCCGACCCAACCCGACCCGAAGATCACATTAAAAAATCTGATCTGATCGGATCGGAACCTGTCGGGTTCGGGTCTCATGTCCATCTCTAGCAATCATGGAGAATCTAATTTCAGGACGACCCCACCTGCCACCCTACCAAAGAATTTCAAGTTCCTCCTAATCGTTCCATTTCTTCTCGGGCATATTAACTTCGCTATCAAAATATTCACAAGAATTAGCATTCCACCATTTCAGTGCATTCTTCAAGCCTCTTAGTTTTACAGACAAATCAGACTTGTTGGTCCTAAATGTAACAAACGTCTGTTCCGCAATATCCATGCAACCATTCTTATGCAGCCACGCATTTATCAATTTGAAGGGTCTTAGCCCCCAATCCACACTTCCACTCGATAGCACCACGGGGATGTGGTCAGAAACTGAACGGATCATAGCACCAGCATCCTCGGTAGCACCACGGGGATGTGGTCAGAAACTGAACGGATCATAGCACCAGCATCCATTTATCATCCAAAAGGAATCTGTCTAGCCTACGTCTCTAACCCTTAGATCCATGCCGAGTGAACTGCTCACCTTCCATGGGAGAAACGTATCCACTTTCTGCAACTGTCACCATAGTTAAGGACAAGAATCGAGTCAAGAAAATGAAGTAGAAGAATCAAGCAAGGGCTATATGATATCCCTTACCATGGCCTTTTCGCTCCCCACTATTTGAATTGAGATCATCATTCTTTTTCTTATCCCTTCCCTCTACACGGTCTCTTTTTTTTTCCGACTTCCAATGTAACACCCATTTTATTAAATCTTAAATAAAATCTTCGTCTTTTACTTTTAATCATCCTTGAACTTTATTTAAGCCTCTCTAATATCACTTAAAGTTTCGAAACCAACCTACAAACGAAAGAAAAAACTAATATTAAAAAATCCTTACCTTAACTATGGAGGGCACGAGATTTTGGAGAAGAAAAAAAGAGTAGAGAACTATTTTTCCCGATTTATCGTCTTTTTCCCTCCTTTAACCTTTAGTAAAAATGAATATTAAATTCATTTATTTCTAGGAAGATCATAGTGCCCCTCGATTTCTTACATTCTTATTAATAGGTCTTAAACACAATTTTTTAAATAAAATTTTATACTTTTCAATTTATTCAAATTAACCCACCATAGTTTTAAATATTTTCTCTATGGTCACCAACCTTATATTTGGGTATTACTCCAACGCCTTATCTTATATAATTTTTAAAGATCCATACCTCTTTTTCTTTTAGATTCTCTATGGATAACTCTCGATGACGATTCTTGGAAGTTTCTACTAAATTCCACATCTTATTTCCGGGGGCCACCTGGGATACCTTACCCTATTCTGCATTTTGGACTTAATTCATTACAGATCCCAACACTCGCAGACCCTATACTCATGTCGTATATGGAAGTTTAATTAAATTACTAAACATATAATTTACCTAAAAATAAATTTGTAGCATCAAGGTTGAAATGTTACAGTTTAATTAAAGTAAGATTTTTGTGTATATACAATTATACATATAACTAAACCCATCAAATGTAATACAATTTACTTTCTTGATGACCTGGATTCTATCAATAATGTCCATAGGAGATGATGATTATTGAATTTTATTTATAATGTAGTTAATATAATTATCAAAATGTATAAATAATAAATATATAGAATAAAATCATATCCAATTCAAGATTTGATAAAAAATGTTAAGGTAAACAACATATTTAGTATCTAAATTATCAGTTTTGATCCATTTTAGTACCTAAAATTTCACTTTTTTTCAAAATCACACCTAGAGTTTAGTATTTGTTTCATTTTAGTACCCACCGTTAATAAGTTAAATACCTAAACTATCAATTTTGATCCATTTTAATACCTAAATTTTTTTTTTCAAAACTTAATGTTAAATTTTGAATAAGATACTAAAATAAAACAAAGACTAAAGTTTTTAATAGTGGGATACTAAAATGAAACAAAAACTAAACTTTATGTATAATTTTGAAAAAATTGAAAGTTTAGGTACTAAAACAAACCAAAACCGATAGTTTAGGTACTAAAACAAACCAAAACCGATAGTTTAGGTACTAAACACATAATTTACCCAAAATATTATAGGCCAAGCACAAATTAAGTCTATTATCTCCGGACAAAAATCAAAGAAAAGGGTAATAGCTCCTCAAATTTTATCATATAAACTGAAAAATGGCAAATGACTACGTAAATTGTCTAGGACACAATGCTTGGACTTGGAAGAATTTGTGTACAAGTGTGTTGCCAAGCAAATTGGTGCAAAGAGAAAATGCATCTAACAAGAGATCAAAATGTTATACCTAAAAGAAAGAGTAAAAAAAATAGGGACCAAATAGCTAAGAAGATGATAGTTCAGGATTAGGAAAAGAATGCTTCCCGGTTGCAGCTTGTGGTATTTCTTAGGTGATCTGTTGTATTGGATTTTTCCCAGCAACTTCCGAGTACCATGAGTTCCAGGCTTTCATGTAATGAGAGAAAAGATCCCTTAGAGCTGCAAACATGTCAGCAAAATTAGATTTTTGTGCTGGAACAACAATTCTAAACAATGAGGCAATCGATCAACAAATTATCATGTGATGTTCACAGTTTTGTGTAGTTGAGAATCAATCTATACCTTTCCTTGATTGTGGTACTGAGGGCGGTATGCAGAAGCAAGACTCTCCCAGTCATGAACCAACCTTGCACCATTCGCAGGGTTACCACTCTTGGTCAAGTTTATAGGAGCAAAAGGACCAAATTGGTAGCTCTTTGAGCCTTGTTTCGAATCATCTGAGCAACTTCTATCGGCCGAAATCTCGACTTTTTCATGCTTTTTCGGCTTAATGCACTGGTTGGGATTCTGATCGTTTGAAGAATCGACCTTACTCTTCTTGAAACCGATGTTGGTGACATCGGTTCCGAACACCCTTTTCTTAGACTCATTAAGAACAAAGGTATTATCAGCGGATCCTTTTTCGGATTTCTCCCTCATCCCCAACCACCTAAACGCAGGCTTCCGGGTATCTAAAGTGTGGGTCTACACAGACATGCATTTAAACTGCAAGTTATAACAATTCCAAGCGGCACAAATTGAAGTTTAAGTGGTTCTAAGCCCCTTCCTAGCTCTCAGTTTTGTGTTTACCTTCTCAATAAGATTCATGGAAGACAACACATTTGCAATGTCGTACAACCGCCTCACTTCTGCTGTTGAACCATCAATTGAACGACAAATTAATCAATCTGTTATCCCTTTCTATAGGAATCCACATTGGAGAGGAAAAGTTGGGGTTTATTACTTCTCATTACTGATGAATTGTGAGAATTCCCAAAATAGTGATGATCAACAGTTTACGGTTTCAACGAAGAGCAACCCAATCAAACCTGCCTATACCAATCTTTTACAAATAGCGGCGTTTTGTATTAGAAACGCTACTAAAAACAGTAGAATTAGCGGCGTTTGTGGTAAACAACACCACTAAAGACAGGATAATTAACGGCGTTTCTGGCAAAAAAACGCCGCTAACTTTAGTGGCGTTCATTTTAGTGGCGCTTTTACTAGCGCATGTAGTGTTTCTAACGGCGCTTAAAAACGCCGCTATAAGATTAAAAACGCCACTAAAAACTTGTTTTGCTGTAGAATACTCTTTTTAATTACTGAAATCATTCAATAAATTTACCTTTGATTAATTTTTGAAATATATCAGTTGTTTTATAAAAAAAATGTGTTTGGAGAGATATTTTTTACCTAGATGTCAATAACTCTAAAAGTAATTTACTATCAAAAGCGTCTTTGAAGTAACATTTGCTTGCAGTCTTTTATTGTGTTAACGGTTTAGGGTTGTGGTGTTGGAGGAGTCTTGTTAGAATCCAAAAGCCTGTGTGTTTTGAGGAGGAAGGAGGATTCAAGTTGGATTGTTGGAGGAGTCTTTATCGCAGTAAGAATCCAAAGCGAAAGTTGCGGGTGTACGGAGTCGCAGGCGGGTACTGTAAGCTTTAATAATCTCATTTCTTGATGCAATCTAATTGACATGCCAACGACAGAAAAAAATTCTCTTGGTTTGGTCCTTCGAACACAAGGAGAAGATTAGATCGTTTGTTTTTTGCTTGTTGAAGTTTGGTTATTGAAATATCAGAATCTAGTGCAAGTGGGATTGCAAAGGTTAGCTTCAAATCACGTACCAGTTTTATTATCTTCGGGTAATTTGATTTGGGGTCCTATTCCGGTCAAGTTCATCATCGGGAGGCTGCAAAAGGAAGGCTGATTGGAGTTGAAGTTTACGGTGGTGCAGGCAGGTGTAGGTGTTCTTTGGTTAATGGAGCTTGCATTTTGTTGTGTTCAGTCTTAGATGCTCTGGCTGTTTGGTTTCTGGTCTAGTTTTGCTCGGTTGGTCGGAGGTACTATTTGTTCTTTCCAATCGGGTCTGCTGTTCTCAAGGGGTGGTCTGAAAGCTTTGTATTTTGTAGTGTGATACTCTCTTGGAGTGTTTTTGTTACCTAGTTAGGAGTGCTATTTTCCTCCATGTAGGCCTATGAAGGTTTTTAACGATGTTTTTAACTTAGATTTAATTCAATAAAAAATTATTGCTGATCAAAAAATCAATTTGTACCAAATGAAATAAGTATCACTTAGTTATAGAAAAATAATATGAACATATCATAAAAATGTAACATCTCAAATATCGGGTCAGTGACCAAATTGTAATATTTTAGATTTCAGTGAGTAAATTAGATAAATGAAAGAGTTCAATGACTTAATTGAAGTATTTTGTGTAGGATGAATATCAATGGAAGGAAAGCCGAAAGGGAAAAAGGGTATTTTAGCAAGGAAATGAATTAAAAACTTTAGCCATGGGATTTTATAACATGTGAAAAGGAGGTTTATGAGATTTCATTTCCAGACATTTCTCTACTCTTCATCCTTCTCTCCTTTTTCTTCTCCGTGAGTTGCTAACTAAGGTAAGAACTCCTTTAGTTGAATAATTCTTGTAAATTAGATATGCTTTAGAGTCTTGAAAGGTTATGAAAACTAAATGAAGGTTTAAAATCCAAAGGATAACAAGTTATGGAGGATTGAAGGTATGAAGTTTTTAAGTGAAAAGTTGAATAAGAAGACATAAATGAATTTAGAAGTTGGATTTGACTTGTCATAGGTTTGAATAAGAAGTAATAAGTGTTAGAAATGAGTTTGGATTATGTTGAAAAATTAGTAAAATTCTTAGTTTCAAGAATTGGAATAAGATGTTGAAGTTTATAAGGCATTAAGATGATAAAATATAGTTAAAGTGGTTGTATTTGAGTTTGGGGTTTAGGGTTTATGATTTTTGGGTAAAAGAAGTTTGTTCTGGGTAAGGGGTATCGGTACCAGATGAATCAGTATCGATACTATCCAGTTATTATAGGCTATATTATTGTGTAGGTATCGATACTGCATGAACAATATTGATACCATAAGAACTGTTGGATCATAAACTTGATCCATTATGGGAGCCTAAACCCAAACTAAATTGATGTCATTGCTTACATCATTTAAGTAATGATGTCATTGCTTACATCAATTTAGTTAGGTGAGAGTTAGGTATTTGTTGAATTTGTAATGGTTTAAATTAGTTTATTTGTGTGGTGTAGGATTGTTCTTGAGTAGTATAAATACCCCTCCCCATTTTAGTTTTAAGCATCAAGAAAAATTAAGAGCTTCTAAGTGAGTGAAGAAGCAAAGTCTTATAAGAGTGAGTTGTAGTTCTTGGTTTTGAGTGAGAGTACTCTTGTAATATTTGTTTGAGTTTCAATAAAATTTGTTTGTGTGAGTGTTTTATTTCCAACAAAGTGGCATCAGAGCGAGTTGGAAAGATCGAAAGTCTCGACGAGAGGAATCCGCCACCGCTAGAATTTTCTCAATCTGAGTTCTGACGCACCGCCATGCACCGCCGGAAGATTACTGTCAGAAAATCGAGTTAACTCACCGAGTTGAGCCGAGTTAGTCGAGTTGGAGCCCCTTGTTTTTCGGCGTTCTGGATTCATTCGTGCAATCGGATTTTACAAAATCTCATTATATTGAGAGATATGGCAAATGGTACGGCACCATTCCAAGTTCCGACACTCAACAACAACAACTACGACAATTGGAGTATCAAAATGAAGGTACTTCTTGGATCACAAGATATGTGGGATATCATAGAGAAAGGCTATAACGAGATTGTGGATGATGTTGTTTTTGCTACTCTTACACCAGATAAAAAGACAACTTTGAATGATTCAAGAAAGAGAGACAAGAAGGCTCTCTACCTCATCTACCAAGCATTAGATGATGATGGTTTTGAAAAGATTTCAAGTGCAAGCTCTAGCAAGGAAGCATGGGAGAAGCTGCAAACCTCTTACAAAGAATCCGAACAAGTGAAGAAGGTTCGTCTCCAAACATTAAGAGGTGAATTCGAATCCTTACACATGAAAGCATCTGAGTCTATTTCAGATTATTTCTCAAGAGTAGTAGCTGTTTCTAATCAATTAAAAACAAATGGTGAAAAATTAGAAGATGTGAGGATAATAGAGAAGATACTCCGTTCGTTGGATCCCAAATTTGAGCACATCGTCGTGACGATTGAAGAAACTAAAGACTTGGAAGAAATGAGGATCGAGCAACTCCAAGGATCATTGCAAGCATACGAAGAGAAGCATAAGAAGAAGCATGAGTTTACTGAGTAACTCCTCAAGCTGCAACTCAAGGATATGCATGAGAGCCAACGCAATGATAGAAACCAACGTGGCCAAGGCAGAGGTAGAGGTCATGGACGAGGTGGAAGTTGAGGTCGTGGACGAGGCTGGAATTACAACAACAACAATTCCAACAACTATGAGAAAGGAGAAATCTCAACACGAGGCCGTGGAAGAATCAAACCGAACTTAAGGCATGACAAATCTCAAGTTCGATGTTATAATTGTCAGAAGTTTGGGCATTATGCTTCAGAATGTACAGCTCCCAACAACAAAATTGAGGAGAAGGCCAATACGTGGAGGAAAAGACAGATGGAAAAGAAACTCTTCTTCTAGCACGAAAGGAAATTGATGGTGGCCAAGCAAATTCCTGGTATCTTGACAGTGGTACAAGCAATCACATGTGTGGAAGGAAAGACATATTCGTGGAGCTAGACGAGTCAGTAAGCGAAAATGTTTCGTTTGGAGATGATTCCACAATAGCAGTGAAAGGGAGATGTAACATTCTTATCCATTTGAAAGATGGGAGACATCAATTTATTTCAAATGTCTACTATGTGCCCAATATAAAAAGCAACATCTTAAGTTTAGGGCAACTGGAAGAGAAAGGTTATGATATTCATATGAATAATTATAATATTTCTATAAAAGATGATAAGAATAACTTCATTGCTAAAGTGCCGATGTCAAATAAAAGAATGTTCTTGATCAACATACAAAATGATGTTGCAAAGTGCCTGAAAGCTTGCTATAAAGATGCATCATGGCTTTGGCATCTTCGATTTGGGCATCTCAATTTTGGAGGTCTAGAGATGTTATCTAAGAAGGAGATGGTGAAGGGACTACCTCGCATCAACCATCCTGACCAGCTTTGTGAAGGGTGTCTAGTCGGGAAACAATTCAGGAAAAGCTTTCCAAAGGAGTCAGAGACAAAAGCCAAGAAGCAACTTGAGCTCATCCATACCGATGTGTGTGAACCGATCAAGCCAAGCTCTCTCGGTAACAGTAACTATTTTCTTCTCTTCATTGATGATTTTTCAAGAAAAACCTGGGTATATTTCTTGAAACAGAAGTCAGAAGTTTTTAAAGTCTTCAAGAAGTTCAAAGCAGTAGTGGAGAGAGAAAGCGGTAGAAATATCAAAGCCATGAGATCCGATCGAGGTGGAGAATTTACTTCCAGGGAGTTTCAAGAGTTCTGTGAAGCAAATAGAATTCGTCGACCAATGACAGTTCCTAAATCCCCCAACAAAATGGTGTGGCAGAAAGAAAGAACAGAACAATCCTCGACATGGCACGAAGCATGCTCAAAAGCAAGAAACTACCCAAGGAATTTTGGGCGGAAGCAATAGTGTGTGCAGTCTACTTGACAAACCAATCTCCTACAAGAAGTGTATGGGGAAAGACACCGCAAGAAGCATGGAGTGGAAGAAAGCATGGCATTTCCCACTTGAAAACCTTTGGAAGTATAGCCCATGTTTACGTACCAGACGAGAGAAGAATGAAACTTGATGATAAAAGCGAGAGTTTTATCTTCATCGGCTATGATGCTAATTCGAAGGGCTACAAGTTGTACAATCCAAACAATAAGAAGTTTGTGATTAGTTGAGATGTGGTCTTCAACGAAGAAGGATAATGGGATTTTAACTCTCATACAGATGACTTCAATTTCTTTTCTCAGTTTGAAGAAGATGAGCAGACAATGAGGGAACAACTAGATGAATCTCAACAAGAGCTTGCAACTCCACCCACTTCACCAACATCAACCACTCAAGGAGACTCATCACCTTCGACATCGTCAAGTGGGAGTCAAAGTGAAAGAGTTGTGCAACGCACAAGAAGCCTTAGAGATCTCTATGAGGTAACTGAACGACAAGATAATCTTACATTATTTTTTTTGCTTGCCGATTGTGAACCAGTGAGCTTTCAAGAAGCGGTACAAGAAAAGAAATGGAGAGATGCGATGGATGAAGAAATTAAGGCCATCGAGAAGAATGACACATAGGAACTTACCTCACTTCCCAAGGGACATAAGGCAATGGTGTCAAATGGGTGTACAAAACAAAGCAAAACGCCAAAGGAGAGATTGAAAGGCACAAGGCGAGGCTAGTTGCTAAAGGCTATAGTCAAAATGCTGGAATTGACTATGATGAGGTATTTGCTCTTGTTGCTCGATTGGAGACTATCAGACTAATCATTTCTTTGGCAGATCAAAACAAGTGGAAGATACAACAGATGGATGTAAAGCATGTCTTCCTAAATGGAGTTCTTAAAGAGGAAGTTTACATTCAGCAACCATCAGGCTATGAAGTCAAAGGGCACGAAGACAAGGTGTTGAAGTTGAAGAAGGCTCTTTACGGGCTAAAACAAGCACCAATGGCATGGAATAGCCGAATCGACAAGTACTTCCAAGAGAATGGCTTCAACAAATATCCCTATGAGCATGCTCTATATATCAAGATCAAAGATGAAGATATTTTGATTGTGTGTCTCTATGTGGACGATTTGATCTTCACCGGAAGAAACCCAAGCATGTTTAATGAATTCAAGGATGTGATGATGAAAGAATTTGATATGACAGACATGGTGCTCATGGCGTACTACCTTGGCATTGAAGTTAAGCAACAAAATGATGGAATTTTCATTTCACAGGAAAGCTATGCAAAGGAGATACTGAAGAAGTTCAAGATGGAGAACTGTAAGCCAATAAGCACACCGGCAGAATACGGGATCAAGATGACCAAATATGAAGAAGGCGAAAGTGTAGATCCAACATTCTTCAAAAGTTTGATAGGAAGTCTACGTTATCTAACTTGCACGAGACCCGATATTCTTCACGCAGTTGGATTGGCTAGTCGCTACATGGAATCTCCAACAACCACCCATTTTAAAGCCGCAAAGAGAATTCTTCGCTATCTGAAAGGTACAATTGACTTTAGCTTGTTCTATTCAGTTTCTAATGATTACAAGCTTGTTGGATATAGCGACAGTGATTGGGGTGGAGACATAGATAATCGAAGGAGCACTACTGGATTCGTATTTTTCATGGGAGATATTACGTTCACATGGATGTCAAAGAAACAACCCATTGTCACATTGTCCACTTGTGAAGCGGAATATATTGCTGCTACCTCATGTGTTTGTCATGCAATTTGGCTTAGAAATCTATTGAAGGAGATAGGTTTGATACAAGAAGAGCCTACCAAGGTTTGTGTCGATAACAAATCAGCCATTGCCTTATCAAAGAATCCAGTATTCCATGATCGAAGCAAGCACATCGACATTCGCTACCACTATATAAGGGAGTGTGTTGCAAGAAACGATGTGGAAGTTGAATACGTGAACTCACAAGATCAAGTTACCGATATTTTTACGAAGCCACTGAAAAGTGAAGACTTCATAAGATTAAGGAACTTACTAGGGGTCACAAGATCAAGTTTAAGGGGGGTGTTGGATCATAAACTTGATCCATTATGGGAGCCTAAACCCAAACCCAAACTAAATTGATGTCATTGCTTGCATCATTTAAGTAATGATGTCATTGCTTACATCAATTTAATTTGGTGAGAGTTAGGTATTTGTTGAATTTGTAATGGTTTAAATTAGTTTATTTGTGTGGTGTAGGATTGTTCTTGAGTAGTATAAATACCCCTCTCTATTTTAGTTTTAAGCATCAAGAAAAATTAAGAGCTTCTAAGTGAGTGAAGAAGCAAAGTCTTATAAGAGTGAGTTGTAGTTTTTGGTTTTGAGTGAGAGTGCTCTTGTAATATTTGTTTGAGTTTCAGTAATAGTTGTTTGTTTGAGTGTTTTATTTCCAACAAGAACTATGGGTGTGCAAATCCGGGTCAGTGATTTCTCGGCCCGTGTCCCGACCCTGATGTTCCAGATACCCGAATTTTGAGGTACCCGAATACCCGAATTTTTCTTCTTCAAATTATTAAATAAAAAACACACAAAAACAGTTGTATCAAAGTGTAATAACCCAAAACACTTCTTTTGCAGGAGTCTGTTCGAATTTTTTAGTATTTATTTACTTTTAAATTTTAATTTCTTTTATTGTTGTTTATAAGTTGCTTTTATATTGGGTCAGTGCAGATGTTGCTTTAATTCTAACGTCGAGCTCCTCACCCAGACTCAAGAACGCAATCCAACCGGTTGTCGATGATCCTCAGATTTCTCAGTTTGCTTCTATGTACGGTAAACCAAATCTCTTTCTTCTTTTAATTATTATTGTTGGTTTATTTTAATCCAAATTCTGACAAACGTAAATGTCTTTCTCTCACAAAAAACTTCGAAGAGCTGTAATAAAGTAATAACACTGTTGAGTGAATTGTTACCTGGCTGAGTGGCTGGAGCTGGCCGGAGCGTGGAAGGCTTCCACGGAAGTTGAGGTTGGAGCTTTGCGATTAACCTGCAGCGTGGCCGTTTTGAGTCTGGAGCGTGGCTGCTTGCTAGGGATTTAGATGGTTTGAGATCTGGAGCGTACAACAAACAATATCATTTAGTTAATATATATATATATATAAAAACTTAACCATGTACTCGGGTAACTGGGTACACTGAAAAATCAATTTTTCTGAGGGCCGGGTATTTTTTTATAAAATTATTTGGTTTTTTTATCCGGGTCGACGGGTCAGGTCAACCGGGTCGGGTAATTTTGTACACCCCTAATAAGAACAATTAAGACACACATATTCATGATGTATCGATACCGGAAGGGGTAGTATCGATACCATTTTTGGAATGAAAACATCGAATCTAATTAGGGTACCGACACCCAAGTATGGTATTGATACCGTTATAAAGGAAGTATCGGTACTGTACCTTGGGTACCGATACTACTTAATAGAGAAAATGTGAATTATGTTCATTAAATAGTTAAGTTATTAAGATCGAGCTATAATGTCTTGGAAATCGTATTTATGTAGATACTGAGCATAAACGTGTTCCGGAACAAGTGACGAGTAAGATCGATCGAGGGAAAGACAATGAAATATAGGTGAGTGCATATTTGTAGAATGAATATATTATGTTATGAGAATTAGACTTGTGATAAGTCTAGTTTCAACATAGGTAATACCACCCAGAATTGTGTAGCTCCTTAATTTATGAATACGCTTTCTTCATTGTTGTCTGCATAGCCTATGGGATTGATTATTCTGCTACATGTTAAACAGATCGGTCCCAATGTCTCAATATCCGCTAATGCTCGTATAGGAGCAGCTGTAAGGCTCATCAGTTGTATCATTCTCGATGGTGTTGAAATCATGGTATGCAACCGAATTCGACGTTCTTTAATTTGGTATAGAAAACATTGCTCGAGATTGCCTTGAATCTGATGCATGGATATTGATTTTCTTTGTTCCGATCGATGACTAATTTATTTTGTCATCAGGAAAATGCCCGTTGTTTTTCACGCAATCGTTTACTAAAATAGTCATTTTGTCTCTTTTTTTTTTTGAGCATTTTGGCCCCTAACGTTTCAGTTTTGAGTAAAAAAACTCTTATTTTAGAGCCTTAACCATTTGTTAACTGTTTTCATACATAAAGGCCCTTTTTTTCTCAAAATGAAATGTTGGGAGCCAAAATATTCCAAGAAATAAAATACGAGCCAAAATGACTATTTTAGTAAACATTGGGGGTTAATTTTGACAGTATGTCATTTCCTTTCAAGATAGTCTTCTCCCAAATCAGTTGATGAATAAACATTTTCGCCTCTTTCTTTCTCTTCTACCTGCCATTGTTGTGCTAAATTCAAATCCGATTCCTTGCAGGCTGAAGGAGACTATAATACCAAACTCGGAATCACAATTCTTGGTGCTTCCCTTTTGTTATTTGCATTTCCTTTTCATAAGATAACCTGTTGGTGAATGTCCTGAATCTGTTAACCGTGTCTGTTACAGGAGAAGCAGTGGCTGTTGAAGATGAAGTAGTGGTGACAGATAGCATCGTTCTTCCGAACAAGACACTAAACGCGAGCGTTCAAGATGAAATACTTCTATGATATTTGTATCCACTCCAATCACGGCATTAGAATAAGAGTAATTTCGGTTGTTGGACCGACGTTTTATTTATTTGATTGTCTCAGATTCATTAGAGAATACTGGTACATTTGATCAGCTTGAAAAGTTAAAACAGGTACTCTACAGTTGATAAGCTTGAAGAATCTGGCCATGGAACGTTAGCTGTGATCATCTGCTCATTATACTCGAACTCGACAGGTGTCCCGTCGATTTTGCACACCATCGGCTTTTCCGAAGCGTACACCCTCATTTCTCCACTTCCTTTAACTCCAACCCTCGCCACATTCTCATCATCCTCCAACACCATTGACAGAATTGCACCCCCTGAATTCAGCATGTTCACCAGTCCGATCGGAGCGAATCGGATGTTTTTTCTCGGTAACATTGTCACAGGGGAGACTGTAAGTAGCTCGTAATTGAATGGTTCGAGTGAAATCTCTACTTTATCAGATGATTTCATCAGCGTTAGCTTCCTATTCTGGTACATGTACACAGCAAAGATGCCGGCACTGCTCGCCGGAACAGGTCTCTTCCTGTTGCTCCACTCGATGTCTTTGGGGCTGGCAAAGCAGCCTACCATGGCTGAAAACTGAGGCGCACTCTCGTTCCGTCGGGATTCACGGCACCATCCTCCACCTTGACAGTTGAATAGTCCTAACACTCCTGTATACTGATGACACAAGGCAAATGATTCAAATATTCACACCTTTGGCAATGCAAATGGCAGTGAGATTATCATCTTACCTTGTTGAGATTCCAAATCTTGAGCATTGTTTTACCGTCATGCAAAGGATCTTCGAAAAGACAATCTCTCGTCGGGGTTGCATAGTGTTGGCATCTCAAGATGGATCCGTCGGGCAACGCAAGGCTCTTCAGCAACTGGAAGTTGTGTTGTCCGACGGAGTCGCTCACATAAACCGGTCCACCGGATATAGCTCGAGACGCGGCATGGAACTCAGCACATTGGTGAGTTGATTGGAACATGTCCCAATCCGGGTGTATGAAATTCCCCATCCACAAGCTGTTGTAGGCGCAATGAACCATGTGGCAGCCCTGAAGCCAATACGTCCCGTTCGGATCTTTCGAGGGGTCAGTGCACCAGAAATCATCGCCTACGTAGACAAGCACATAACATTTCGAGTTAAACCCTACACCATGCATAGAGAAGTCAATATGTTCCGTCGTGTTTCGGTTTTGAAATACATACCGACACGACCGAGTGAAATGGCCTCCGTTCCGAGGAGGAAGAAGTCGTTGCAGTGTTCCATGCTAGCGATAACGCCATTCCCTTTGAAGTGTTTCCACACGGAAGCCGTCAGAGCATTGTAATACGATTTGGCCAGTTCTACTCGTCCGCTGTACTCCTCCGCCAGCATCTCGAGCAGCTGAAATACAGCAATCAACACAAGAATGTTACGAGTAGAAGACACTGCCAAATTGCCACCGCTAGCCTGAAATGACGTGTCCGGCAAGGAAGCAACAAAGGTGGTGGACCTAATTTGTTAAACATTTCACATGCTGCACGTCATGCCAGAAATAAATACATTGCATTTGACACCGTTCATAACTCATTCACCGAAAGTGACACGCGCCAAGACATGGTCCCCGTTTCATTTTAGGCTTAGCGGTGTGTATTTACATAGGTAAACAAGACTACTTAAGTTTGAGGATTGTTACGTTTGATTCGACTCGAAAAGTTTAAATTAAATTAGATTCGATTTGATAATTCGTAAGTTTAAAATTGTTAAGTTTAAATGAAACTTAAAATAAAAAATTGAAACTTAAAATAAAAAATTGAAACTTAATTCGAGCTCGAAAATAATTTAACTCAAAACACTATTAGACTTAATTTGGTTAAAATTTGAACTCGAATTCGGTTCCAACTCGAATTCAAACTCGAACTTAGACTTTAAATATGTAAAACTCAAACTTGGCTTTAAATATATAAAAACTTATACTTCAAGTATATAAAAGTGAGTCAAGGGGTAAAATACTTAATTTCAAAATAATGACTTATTATGTATTTAATCTAAAAATTTAGAGGTAAAAAATCTAATTTTATTTAAATTTAAAATGATAAAGGCCTAAAATGCTACCAAAATTTTGTTCTCACTCCCTATATAGCTCCGTTCCTGTACGTTTTAAAAGGAAAAAAAAAGCTTAATTTATAAACTTTAAGTAATTTGTTTTGATTTGTTAAAAATTTGAGTCGTACTCGAGCACGAGTTGAGTTCATTCAAATTCAATGTTAATCGAACTTTGATCGAATCAAACTCGAATAATCTACTATCTGTTTCGTCTTATTTACATCATAAAAGAGGGTCGGAGAACTTACATGGATCACGTCAACCTTAACGCCGTCAATCCCCACCGATTGAAGATGAGAATGAAGTCCTTGGTACATCTCGTCAACCATTTCCGGTGGGACTAATCCCACTCCGTTGTTCACAATCTTGTCCACCGCTAAATCCTCCATAGTCATCTTCAAGCCCTGGGACAGTTTAGGGGTAATGACCTTTGCGGGAGGCATTCCTTGGACATTGGGTCTAATCCCACCCCAATATCCACACAACGCATGCCACACATATACATGTTCTATGCTCTTGAACTCTTCTTTTAGGTCCCTTACAAAGGCACCCATGCCCTTATCATTAGGTGACTTACTACTTTCATATTCCCTAAACTTGTAGTTCTCTTGATGTTTTATGAGCCTACATGGCATTTGCTCACCAGCACAAGTCCGGTTGATGCCTTCTTTATCGCCGATGGGGTCGTCGTCATGGCAAATGGACTGCCACCCATCGTCGATAAGGACCATCCCCGGAGGGCAGCCACCATCGGCTAGGGTTTTGACACCTTCCCAAACGCCTTTAGGGTGTACATTAAGGTAAAACGCATCCCAAGTGCACCAACCGAATTTGTCTACAATACCCGGAGGAGTTTTCTCTTCGAGGAGCCTGAAGGTTCCAAGGTGGAGCCGGACCACCTTCACGGCGTCCTCCACCAGCTTATACGGATCATCACCGACGTGCATGTAAATGCAACACCGGAATGATGAGCCGGTTACCTTGGTGGAACCACTCTCCATGCACATGTCTACGTTGTCATCAACTCCCGGTTGGAGAGAAGCCCTGAACGGGCCTTCGAGGAGTGGGAGGAGAAGGACGTAGGGACGGCGGCCGGAGTCGTTTTTATCCAGAATCATCATCTGAGTTTCGTGCTCGACATCCTTTCCACTGTTGCCTACCCAGTGGGTGGTCCACCAGACTTTGAACCTGAATATGCTCATGAACCTTATGCCACTGAGCTTGCCTATGGGCACAACGTGCCGGCTTTTCTGCTCCTCAGCGTCGAACCCGACGAAGCATCCGAAGCTGGTCTTGGATTTGAGCGGTGGTGATGGGGTAGCTACTATGTTTGCAGGGACATTGGAGAGAAATGGTTGGCCATTGGCAAGGAAGTTTGTTCCTTCAAGGGTTATTGAGGCGAGTAGATGAGCATCAGTTGGGTTCAGGACATTGTTGGTTGTGGTAGGAGGAGTCATGGCAGGAATCTGGTGATTAAGATTCAAAGTTTTGATAGAGAAGAGAAGAGAAGCGGTGGAATTGATCAAAGCATGGATAAGCGGTGGTATTTATAGAGGTCAGGGGGTAAACTACATTAAAAATTATCGAGTTATATCGTTTATACCACTTAACTTTTAATTTTATTAATTATAACACTGAATTTTAATTTTCGTTTCATTAAAAAGTTAAATCATTAACGGCACGATGACATAACCGATGGCTACCGACATGGGTCATGGCTACATAAATCGACATCGTTTTGAGATTTAACGGTCCGGTAATATAATTAAAACGAAAATCAAAGTTTAATGCTATAATTGATAAAATTAAAAATTCAGTTATATAAACGATACAACACTTAATATTTAGTGGTATCTGGTGTAGTTTAGATTTTACCGAGGCATCATCAGCTTCATGCATTTCGTTGCTTTCCTGGGTCAGATTTTGTTCCCCATGACAATTTCATTTAAGGTTCACAAAATATATTATTCACTCATATTTGGTGAATGTTTATATAATTTTAAATTTATTAAGTGGTTTTAATGATTAAAGAAATTATTGTGCTTTTATAGTTGTGGTTCAAATAGCTATGTTTATAAGATGTGTATATGTTGTTAATGATTAAAAAAAATTCCGAATAAATACTACTTTATAATCAGTGCAGATTATTAATAAAAAAATATAATTTCAAGTTTTCTTAAGTTTATAATTTAATATTAAATAAGAAAATAATATGGGAGAAATCCTCAAATACTATTTTCCTTTTTGAATGTTAATGAAATTGAAGGACCAATTAGACGTTAACCCTAAAGAAGAAATCAACTTTGAGATGATATTATCTCCTTAAATACTCTTTATTCCACAAATATGAACCTATCCTTATTGTTCTAGATGTTTCCTTATAAGTGTTTACCGAGTTGGACGATGCTCGATTCATATTCATTAAAAAGTTAATAAATTGTTCTTGAGCTTTTAGAGTCAAGATAGACTTTACTCGACTTAATTCATTAAATTTTTTAATCGAATTTGAATTCAAGCCAACTTGAATCGAGCATTTACCATATCGAGTTCAAACAACTCACGAGATTCTAACTCATTAAGTACCCCTATGCTGCCTTATCCCCATTCTAGACAACCATCAAAGCTCCATCAAAGCTATGATGATGAAATAAACATCAGCAAAGCAACAACATAATATGTCAAGTTTAACCTCATCCATCCACATGCACTTCAATAATGCAATTTCACCAACAGTAATTCGTTTTCAAAATTTACCGACAAATCAAAATTTTACAGGGATTAGAAAAAAAACTATTTGAATGTTACTAATGTACAAACAACATAAGTTGGGAGTGAAAACAATCGACAGACATCCTACAAAATATGTCAATCCAATTGGGAACTGTTCCCAGTTTCACCGGTCGTCATCTCGTCGTTCGCTAAACCTTTCTTGTTATCATCATCTTCGACCGGCTCGATCTTCTGCTCCAGCTCCATCTTAAGCCTTTCAATCTCCTTGTCTCTCTCTTCTAGTTTCTCTTGCAAGATAAAAACCTGCACCACAACTTGCCCGAATTAACAACCTTGCTTAAGCGGTTACACCAGCTCCCAAATGACAAGACAATCATGGCAGGATACTAGTAGTAATCGGTCTAACTGAATTATAATATGATCGTGAAATATCCAACGTGAAAGCACCATGCCTCCGTCCGTGAAATACATGTGAATCAGTTAACCGATCATCTTGAGGTGCGTACAAAGAGCCACCACTCATGGATGACTTTCACTACCTGTGATTATATGGCCCTCTTTGAATATGATGTAATATACTGAGCATAACTCTTAGAAAAAGAATTGAGTCAAAAGGAGCCATCCGCTTGGTGACAACTATCCAGAGTTATTAAGGGCACAAGGTAAACTCTAGGATTTTGGCTATAGACATAAAAGCACTTGCTCGAGCAAAGCCCAATATGCAGGTGCTTTCGTGTGTGTGTGTGTACACTTATGATAGACAAACCAACACTGAGTCAATGGCCCGATTGCATTATAAGACTGACATCACCTAAGCATTTTGCAAAGACCACGGGTCGAGCCCTGGTGGTTTCCTTACGAAACGTAGAACAGACAACTACCCTGGATGCTAATTCTCTTTCTTCCTCGAACATGAACACGACCACTACCCCAGGCCCTCCTCCTTCGATTAGACAAGAATAAAATAGACTTCAAATAAAATTTGGTCTCGAGCTTCTCTCTTTTTGTTCACACAGATTTATTTCATTTCTGGCTTTTCTTGATAATAAGTTTCATCTTCAGTCATGAAGGAAAGAAAGAAGCAATGGAATTATTTCCAGAAAATAGACAAGAGTAAAAGGCAATCAGAATAGGAGTAGAAGTACGATAGGTAAGTGATACTCTACATAATAAGTGCTCGTAGAGGAGCCCAGCATTGCTCGTACATTAAAAGTTCATTTTTCTTCCATAAATAATTTTATTTCCCTTTCCACAGGTAAGATATCAGAAGACAGAGACTATAGAACTCGGAGTGATCCTATTCAAACATGTCTTAGCTTCTTCAAGCAAATGTCAATTATCAAAAGGCAAAGAGGCTATAGCAACTTCACTACTATAAGGGCATTCGAGAAAATTAACCCCAATTGCAAATATTACTTAAAATAAGCTCTAGCAATCTAAGTCTCTAAAGCCAAATTTCCGCGTGTTCCTCGTTTAATGCATAATATTTGATGATTGTATTTAATGTGAAGATTAAAGATGAGAGGAAGATAACAACCGTTTCATTTGATCTTTCTGCATCATTTGTCAGTCCCTCCATTTGTTTATATAGTGCTGCATTCAACAGAACAACAATGATCAAGATCGCATGAACCAAGTTTTTCAACCATGGAATAAGAATTTCAATTAAAAAATGGCGTAGACCATATTCGAGTTCTCATTAAAGTTAGCCATCCTAATCTGACTCATTCAACAAAAAATTCAAAACTTGTTTATCATGGACCTTCAAATTGACTTCTAAGTTCTGTATTTTGAGATTTTTGTAATGCGAGTTTCATGGCCAACTCATGCATCTGCAGAGAACAAAAGAGTCCAATAAAAAAGTCAGTAAAATAAGCATAAATAACAGACCAATGTCTCAACTTAACTAATTAATATTCAGCTTTGAAAGTCATTCTAATCTATATCAGGATTCTTTCCAGCACAAGATGCTTTTATAATGTAGCAGCCTGTAATTGTCACAATTGGTCCATTTGCCACCCCTATTATAATAGGGAAGATGAATGCTTAAGCACATAAATTGGCATGCACCAAGAAAACAATGCATATATAACCACAGACCTTTCCTTCCTCAGCTTGAGTACCAATTTCCTCGTTTTCCTCTTGCAATGTTCTACACTTTGCCATCAGCATCTTTCCCATTTTGCTTTGCGGAGTAAAACTAACAGCAGCAATATTTTCTTGCAACTCCTTAACTTTCTTGTCCTTTTCCTCAACCAAATTCTATTGCCATAACAGTGGAGAAATAAAAATAACTGATCCATAAACACGATGGATTGCTTAATAGAATATATCTCCGCTTCTACTGTAATGACATCAAAATAACCCTGAATACGTAATTTATAAGCACAGGAGAAATCTGACAGCAAATTAAACTTATAAGCCTCATCTTATTAAGTCTTTAACGTATTCTAGATTACCAGACAGAAATGAATAGTTGAATACTGATAAATTAATACGCATAAAGTCGAGAGAGAGAGAGAGGGAGGGAGAGAGAGAAGAAACTGAATTCGTTTCAGGCCTAATCCACTGTGACACCAAATTAGGCAAAATTTCCAAACCACCCTGAGTCCAAAAGCCCCAAGATTCATTACAAATAGTAATATTACATGGTTCGTTTGTGGCTTGTAATACGGTGCCTGCTAAATAAACATGCCACTCCCTTTATATTCTCCTCTCCCCAAATTCATCCCACCTCATTTATAGAATAGATATCCTCTTGCATATAATTATAACAAAATAAGAAAAAAGGAACTTTAAGAACAAACCTTTAGACGTGTAAATTCCTCATGAATAGCAGGATCTAGTAGCAACCTTCTGGCCTGTTAGATAAGCCACAAAGAAAATTAAATGGGTAGCAAGAGGCAAAATATCACTTAGTTCTAAGCCATTAACAGAAATGTTAACAATTCATGTCTGATAAAAATCTGACCAAAAAACATAGAATAAGAGAAGCAGATATTTGATGAAATCAGGCCCATACATTAGTCAACAAAAGTTTGCATCACGAAAAATGTTAGGAAGTAGCAACAACAATTTACTTAAATACTGTGGGCGAGGTTGGATTGGAAACTTGGAATCAAAACACAAAAGTCGGAGTCCTTGCTATGGACAACAGGTAATTTCCATGGCTATAATCCTATTCCAATCAAAATAGTAAAATCTGAGAAGTGAGGAAATTATTCCGTGAAAATTTCCAAATTACCATTCACTTTTTGTAAAACCTTTTTCTCATCACATCAAGAAATACAAAGTTGAGCACTCAATAATATTTAAAAACATATTCTTGAACGGTTCAAAAAATCAAAGTAAAACACAATTTATGGGGCAGAGGGAGCGGTTAATTAAAACAAGAACAGCTACTAACAGATTAAAGAAGAAAAAGAAATTAGTACAAGGAAGGCATTCGTGACAATATACATAGCATTTATCTTTGGTGACTGAATCGTGGTGGAGTAGAAAAAGGATTTGTATCAAGTATTAGTTGACAATCCCCATACAACCCCTGCTCATATTTAGTTGACAATACATAGCATATTGTCAACTAAATACTTGATACAAATCCTTTTTCTACTCCACCATGATGGAGTAGAAAAAGGATTCAAAATTCTTTGATGATATAATACCAAACATTAGAATTATCAAGCCCTAATCTTTGGTTGAAAAATATGTTTCATGAAGATATATTTTAGAATAAAAAAATATACCAAAACTTTAATAGGAAAGTAGTTTTGA